GTATTTATTGATTATTGATCAGGCTATGGATGCTACGATTTGTCTCCTTATTTCTGGTAAGATAGAAACTTATTTGTATCAGATGAATAATGAATTATAAATTATAATCTTATTAACCTCATAAGAGTGTCTGAAGGGTTTTTAGAAACCATGTGTGAAAAATGTAAGTCACAAGTGTGGCGAATCAAATAAGAAGCTTAATTCGTAGCTCCAAAATTTGAGTTTATTCAAGCTTTATTGGGGGGGGGGGGGGGGTGAATAGGTTTTCGGATCGGCGGATCTGGGCCTAAAATGGCACGCGGATTACGGACTTAAAGTAAAAATAGGGGGGATTGCCGGATTCTTAAAACGTACCGGATTACGGATTTAATGAACATTTAACGTTGGATTTCAGATTCTATAATGGCGATAATCGTGACTCCGAATTTTGCCGATTGTCGACTTAAAAAAATCACGTAAGAAGTCCCTAAGAGGCTCTGCGCTGTGTGGAAACGTCTTCTCTGAGCTTATTATGGCAAATATGGCGTCAGTGGGTCTTCAATTAGCAGGAATTTATGATTTTCTTATTATCGATTGCTATCATGATTTGGGATTCGGATTAAAGCAAAATTTTGCGCGGATCGACGGATTTTAGAAAAAAAAATGAGCGGATCGGYGGATTCGGAGACCCCTATTCCCCCCCCTTTATTTGTCAAAATAATTCTCACTATATCCCTATTTGGTCAACTCATTGCAGAAATTCAAGAAATGCTTATTTTTAACTTTTGTTGTCTCTTTATTCCAGCTCCTTCACCAAACCTAGATTTCTACAAAAAGCTTGAYAGTTTTATTGGTCCTCAGCTCACAAACTTAGCAAACATCATATGTGAACAAACAGCCAAGAAATCACTAAAGTACGTTCAAGACAGTGTATTTGTTAGATTTTAACCCGTGAAGCAATGTGTAATGTGTCAAATAATTGCAGTAAGCTGTTATACCATGAAAAGATAAAGAAAATATGCCAAATTAATATTAGTAATAAGTAAGAAGATTGCTGTGTGCTCAGTTTGAAAACAGGGTTAGTGCTACTCCTTGAAATCCTTGAAAAATCCTGGAATTGAAGCACCCTCGTTTTCGAGGGTGCTTAAAAGCCCTTAAAAATGAGAAAAATCGCTAAAACTCTTGCGTCTTGGAAAACTCATTGAATCTGATTAAATGGACATATTGTTTTTTTAGCTTCTAAAAAATCGTCCTTGAAAAATTGCCTTTAGTTTTTGTTGTTAAAGAAAAATATTTGAAAAGTCCTGCGTGGAATTTTGTAGTGAAAAGAACCCTAAGAAATTTTTTTTTGAGATGTTACCAAATGATTTAATTTATTTTGTTATTTTCATAAAACAGTAGTACAGAGCAACAGTATCGGTACATCTACTTTAATCACATGAATCTGGCTCAGAAGTCTTCAATCCATCACAGACGGTCATCTGGTTCTGTKATTGCTCCTGAGATTATGAGACTTATTGCTGATATTAGTGGGGATTTTCAAAGGTAACTTTTCACATCTGGGTCTTTCTGTAGGATGAGTACAAGCATCCACCCTTTCATTGAATATTCATTCATCCACATTTCATCCCTAATTCATTCATTTTTCATTCATTGATTTTGCCTTAGATGATACTACTATCCATCCATTTATTTTAAGTGTGGATCCAGGGTGAGGTTCATGGGAGAACTTTGCATCGCCCAAAGATAAACAATTTTTGGCTTATTACCCGTTTCTGCTTCGCTTTGGTGCAAAACTACGGGCCCCACGCACAMCTTGTTTTCTCACCGCAAAAAAACTATGAACAATAGGCCTTAAACGAGGTTTTCACAAAGTGCTTGTACAAATATGTGAGGTTCACAATATCTTTATTTTTTTAAAGTCAAATCGTCTTTTTCCATCTAGTTTTCAAGAGGATGGTGAGACATACGTCAAGACAATGACTGACTGTTGGGTTGTTGGACGCAAATCAGACCAGAGAGAATTCTTTGTCATCTTAAATCAAAAAAGTGCCAACCTTATTGAAATTAATGGTATGTTGTTCATTGTTTCATCATCACCGTTGTTTGCATTGATATGTGACAAAATGTTCAAACAAACCACCAATTGATACAAATACTCCTTATGGTGGGGTTGGGAGTATAAAGGGGGGGGGGGGGGGGGGGGGGGGTCCTCCCCAGATAATTTTGAATTAATAACTCTTGGGAATGCGATTTCCAGCGTTTTGCGGTTCTTTTTGATAACGACACCTTGGTTGGATAAAGCAAGCAAAGACAATTATTCTAAAAAGTCCCGAAAATTGTAAAATTTCCTTGCCACTACTAGTACACACGTGCATATGCGTAAAGGTCAATCAAAAAACGGTCGMAAAATAAAACCATTTWACTTTGGTCATTAAATCAGGTTCCATTTTTGGTTAAAATACTTAAAAASCACGACCCAAACAAAAAGACCCACTATYGTCAACATGCAKRTAATSCTGATGGSTGAAAAATARAAGCTAACTTTGAATKAATTGTCTTTTCTTTCAGAGGAAGTAAAGAAGCTGAGTGTATCACATTTCAATAACATATTCTTTATGGATTAATTAGTTATTATTGTTGTTATTACGCATAGTTTAATATGTGTATGGACATCATTTATCTGTAKCRCTGCTTTGTGAATCTTAGCAGCTGTTACGTCACTTGGGACAACTTTTTATACGTCAATTGACACTACAGAACCATCCCAGAAAAAAAATGTTCTGATTTGAAATAGACAGCTATCAATCAAAAACATTGTTCTCAAACCAACCAATGGTGAGATTTAAAAGCCTGTTTGCATTTGTGATTTTAGAAGAGTGATTCTCGCGGCGATCGCCTGGCCTGAGGTTCGAACACATGTCGAACATGCTTGAAAAATGGCTGCAACTTCGCGGCGATTTTCCATCGTCTCCACAATCGCAGGGCTGTTTACACTTACAATTTGAGTTGCGCGATAGCAAAGTGGCGGTTATCGTGCTACAAAAATTGCAAGTGTAAACGGGCCTTAAAATTCTTTTTGTTTTTTTTCACAGCAGTTTGTCACCATTTGCATTTTGTAAAATGTAAGTTTCAGTGCTCTTTGGATTTTGATTTCATGAAATTTTAATAATAATTCGTTCTTAGGAAGGTCTTACTTCCAGGAATTGTAAACTTGGTAGAAACGTTCTAAATGRCTGCAATAGGCCCTTTGCATCAAATTAAGCAAGCCTTGCTCTCCACTTCTATTTGAAAAATCAATATTTTAAATTTGCTGTCATTTTTGAAGTATSTAGAGTTGAGACTTTCATTTCTGAACATCTTTTTAGATAACTCATTGATTTAAAGTAGGTCTTTTAGRAAAAGATGACAAAATTCTTATGACAGAAAGAGGGCTGTCTGGTAACAACTGTGTTAAAAATTGCATATGATAGAAATTAGAAAATTATAGTGTACATAATAAATATATGTTAAAATATTCACCGAATTCTAAAGCTCACATATTGTTCTCTTATTGAATAAATAATGTGTTACAGAAAATAAAAAAAAAATGCTTATACATTGTATACTTTACAAGTTTCCAATTCCTKCACATTCATTAGTAAGAAATATAAACAATCTCTCCATGGCTTAATGATTTTATTCATACAATTTACAAACAGGCTATGCACAGATATTTTCCACCCTCTATCTGAAGTTATAAAATGGAGAATCTTGTAAAAGAAATCCTAAGGGAGGGGTGGGAAACAACTGTGCACTAGATAATAGTATTTTCTTTATAAAAACATCTATTCATTTACATAGTTCACCTTTAAAATAAGAAATGTTGGGGTTCCTGTGGTTAAAATACACAGGAGGCCCAAACTATTGATTATACCATCACACAAATCAAGAATAGTTTCCTCTTGCAGCCGTTATAAGGCTTGTTCCCAGGTCTCTCCCTTTAATGAGTTAAAGATTCAAGAAGGGCTAAGTCAAGAATGGTGCTGTGGAAGAATTGGTCCTTCGCAAGGTTTCTTGTTATTGATTCCCTTTGGTTAAACAGAACAGCAAGCCCAATATCAACACCACCAGTATTTAACCAATCAATACAATCCAGTTCCCATGACAATATAATTTCCTTCTTCTTTGGTAAAACATTAAAACATCTAATGGGCTTCCTGTGGTGACATAACACAGGGAGTCCAATTTGATTCAAGTTTCAATAGCAACATCCAGCATTTCCACATTCTCTCCTTTCTTTGGTTTCTTGTGAATCATAATTAACAGCATCAAAAGTGGYAAATGCAATAAACTAAAACGGAAAAGTTCTCTTGACGATTTACTGTCTGATCTCTTGTAAAATCTCCATGCCAACCATGTAAGATAAACGTTAAGAGGTAGAGAATCCAATGCTAGCCACCATGACGTRACGTCAMACATGGGTAATAAGGTAGACAAGCCAATGAGGTACAAACTGTGGCGCAGAGCCACCCTACGGCATAGGGCGGGGTCAGTCACACACATCATGCGATAACCAGCTGGGAATAGAAAGAAAGAAATTTTATAGTATTTTGGAGTTATCTACCCTAGTTTGAGTCTCCTTAGCTGATCATCATGCCATTCTAGCGCTTATTTAACATCTATATTATTATTCTTTTATTAATTATTTTGAAGCATAGCTARTAGAAGAAAAAAATATACTTAAAACATTTCTGTTGCAGGAATTTTTAGAAGATAATGAGCAAAATAACTGCTTATATTTTATAGTAATGATATAATGCATTATGTGAAACTGGTCTAAATACTGATAACATTTCTACACCAAAACCTGATGTGGGCTTCACTCTTTTGCATGTAACTAACCTCTAGAGTAATCTGGTCTAAGGTTCCAACTAAGGGCGTTAAAATGWGGAAACTGCCATGAGTACAATATACCAGCTAATACCAGAGCACCTGGCTCTAATGTCCCTGTACATGCTGCCCAGCCCATTAGAGGTGGTATCCCTCCTACCAATGATCCTACCCATGTGTTAGCAATGCTTAATCGTTTCAAWGGAGTATAGACACTGGTGTATAGGAAAAGGTTTGCTGCACCTAAATGGAAACAATAACATTGTGTTAACTGCACTTATGGAATCAATAGAACACTGCAGGTAATCAAGTTAGACTCCTCTTCAAAAGAAAGGTCTTGATTGTTAGTTTTTTTACAGACAATAGCAGCCCAATATGTATAAGGATGTCAACTAACTGGCACTTGATGCCATTCATAAAAATAAAAAATCACCATTTTTCCAACATTTCTTGAAACAACTGTATTTTCAAGATAGACAGTACCTAGAAGAGCTGTTAAACCATTAACTTGTGATAATAAAGTTAGCACACCAAGGCTTCCTGTTATGACACCAAACGAGAGAACATGGAATGGACTGGAAAAAAATAATGAAAACAAAATATAAAAAATATTAAAATACAGTAATAATTCCAAAGTGACTACTGTGTGTGTACAGTTACTCGCACAAAATATACAGTACACGTAATAATCAAAATCAATTGAGGATCTACACCTAAAAGATAACCAATCGTGATATCTGAGGGATCTGCTAAAAGATCATTATATATTCTCATGGTACCCATCTCATATACAGTACATGCAATAATCAAAATCAATTGAGGATCTACACCTAAAAGATAACCAATCATGACATCTGAGGGATCTGCTAAAAGATCATTATATATTCTCATGGTACCCATCTCATATACCAACCTTAGCAACCCCTTAACTAGTACTCGGCTCTTAGTTCTTGCCATTTGAGAGTCAAAAGGGACTTCTAACCACTGAAATATAGCAGTTGAAACAATGTCAACACAGACACGCACATACATAGCCAATTGTATGTGTATGTAAAAGATTGTTAAYGCTACCGGAGGACTGTTTATACCTGATTGATTGCATTGGCTGCTGATGAACACAGAAGAGTGCCTGCTGACATCCACAAGAATGCATCCATATGCATTGGCGCAGGGGCTAATGCATACCCTGCCATTGCAGTTAATACTACCATACCTACAAAAAATGAAGTTATTGATAATAAGAAAATCCAATGAAGTAACATAACAATAATACATTGCATTTTTGAAATTTCATTAATGGTTCATTACAAGCTATATCACATATCTTTGCCAGTTAGTAACTTGTCAGCTTTGGCCCGTTTCGTGTTTTTCAAGGCCTACAAATTATAAGTGTTTTGGCAAGGTGCAGAAGGAGAAATATTGACTCAAAACCTAAACAGCTGACAAAGCGCAGCTTTGGACAAGTTTAGAGGATTTTTGTATCTTGCWTTTATTGACTGAGTAATGACCGACCAGAAATATAAAAAAAATGTTCTGAAATAAATGGCTATACTCATCAATCAGCAAGTTATGTTTGTTGAAGGCGATGATTCACATGAGCGCTACAGCAAAATATATCTATTTGTGATATTTGTTATTTCCATGCTGATTCTTGTGCAAAAATAATGTCAGTGGTAGAAAACTGCAACTGTCAAGTGGCAATCAAGGAATATGCAATCTATAAATTACACCAGGCAGTGATTTCCAGGCCCTATTAAACTATCGCAATGTTTGATCACTCCCTAATAGATTGACTTAAGCCACCCTGTTTCTGATGCCCAAATATAGACACATCTACACAAGCAAGAGTCTATAATAGTCTGCACAGAACAATATTGCCATGAAGGTTAATYGGTTAATCAGTCTTTTTGCCGTCAAAATTGCACAGTTAGCAAGACAACAAAATCAAACGTAGGTCTAAGCACGTAAGTTAAACAAACACTTTTCTGTCTAAGTCAAACTGTTAGCTAGGCACTTTGCCGTCTAAATCAACCAAAACCAAAAACTTATCGTCTTTTCATACCTGTTAACCTTATTTTGGCAAGTCTCATGTAGAATCCTGGGAGTAATTTAAGYTCAACTTCCTGTTGTCTCCAGACCTCCTCCACATCATCTTCAACTGCCTTCTTGGTTACCGTAGCACCCTTAGTCAGAGATTTATTGATTGCTGTACTAGCTGATCTTGTAACATGCTACAAATTATTTACAAAACTCAATGAATATTTGATATTAATGTRGCTTTACTATATAAATAATATTATATGATTCTAAGACATTGTTCTCTATATATGAATTTGACAAGAATAGAATTTGTATGCAATTGAAGGAGCATAACCACTTACCACAATTATCATATAAGCTTAAGTTTATAATGAAATGAAACCTATACTCATTTGTGATTGGCCATTTCTTGACGTTTGGGTGCAACAAACATAACAGGCATAAAAAGCAAACATAATTATTGTTCCCTGATGCCTGAGTTTAAAGGTGTATAAACTCTGATGGCAAAACACTAACTTAAGCTTAAGTAACTCAAGCTTAAAGTTACATGTAAGTCAACCTTAGCTAATATTAAATTGTTACCTTTGTAAAAATAGTTTCACATTTCTTGCTCAAACATGAGAGGTATATTCTATTTTGTACTAGACGTCCATTACTACAGACATAGCTTCCTGTCGTCGAGAGAGCCCTTACGTTAACAAGTCTTCCCAACACATGAAAACCGGCTTTTGGCTGACGGACACTCAAACGGAAGGATTCTGTAAAAAAAACACACAATAATTGGTATTTTATTACATAAATTCGGAGCGACAAAAGCAAGGAAGATACTTACGGTGGATACAGCATTGAATAAGCATAATCCTTTGTCAAAAAAACGTTTTTTATMGACCATTATGTAAACCCTCCACGATCTCGTCCGCCATTTTGTGAAAGAGAGACTGTGGGAGAGACCCCTAGATACACTTTAGTAAAAATTAAATAAAAATAACTTTTTTTTTGTTTATACTTTCTTTAAAGTAAGAATTATTTTTTAGATAAATGTAAAAAAAATAAGAACAAAATTTTATAAGCAATGATAGAGTTTTGGTCTACAAATTGGCTGCCTATTTATCTCGGTWYTACCCCTTCCCCCGTTAAAAACTTTTGTACTGGTTTTGCAACGTGCAGGGGTGCACATCTATGTTCAGTCTCCCTCGTCTGCACTAGGAACGCCTGACAGAGTTCTTGAGTTTGCTTCAAAAAATGGGCAAAGACAAGAAAAATTCAGTAGTGAAGGATGGTTTGAAACGGATTAACTTTCTATATCAGGTAAACAAACTTTCTAGTTTATATTATTTATATTGCATGAAGTTTTTAGTGATTGTAATACCTCATTTTTGCAAGAAATTCATGTGAAACCCATGTTGATTTTGAGCGAATTATATAATTTAAGGCTGCTACTATCACTCTGGCAAGCAATCCAAARAACACTGGCTTGGCACGTTTCTACATTGAGTCTATGGACGCTACATCCCATAAGCAACTTTTGAAATTGTATGTATGTGAATTGGGGCYTTTTTATGTCATATTAATAGACTCTTAAAAATACGTTACAATAATTTCACTTTTTTACCACACCATATGAATTCTCTCACGCTGATTGGCTGGTTGGAGTGTGCCAATAAGAGGACAGACAGACTGTGCTGACACCACCATATCTTTTCATTGCTCAGTAATTGTTAGACTAAAAAATATGCAAAATGGTGGGAACTAGCGGTAAATTAGTGTCAGTGTTTCTAAAGAAACTGTTCCCTCTTGCGTAAAAAAGTAGGTGAAATAATACTGATGATTTGGGCGTTATTTTACCTACTTTTTTATGGTGTTAACTTTATCTTTTTACACAACTGCTAAAAAATATGCAGTAAAACACAAATTGCACAGTTTTTTGTGGTTTGATATAAATTCCAACTTTAATTTTATGTCCAATGTAATGGAACTATTCAAATGTGTTGGTGCAGTGTATGTAATTGGGTTAAGTCAGGGTATAAAAGGGGCTGTTGATTGTTGATTATTGATCACATCATTGGCAACATTATAATTTTTCATACYCTGCAGGGACCCTTCCATTAAAAGAACAATATGCAAACGCTGCCACAGTTTGCTGATTCCAGGAGTGACATCTAAAGTGAGAACACGAGGTGAGCCCCAAAATGGGTAAATGAATTTTTTTTTGTATAAATATAAAGTAGAAAATGGTAAATAGCTCACAGAATATAAACTTCTTTTGAGGTTCTGAGTACGTCTGTTACTAACTGAAATAATATAGAAAACAGTCAATGGGAATAAAGCCTTCAACAAAAAATAATTATCTGAATTTAATTCTCAGATTCTTAGTCTCATAGTCTCATTTCCAATTTTGTTTGCCAAAGGGATGTCTAGAATCCTACAATTAAATTCTCTAGCCTTTTCTAACATAGGACAAACCTGAACAAGAAATATTAAAAATATATATATATAATTTATGCACATGTCTAAGAACATGGTGTGAAATAACCATGTGCAATAACATAGAATAAAGACAACTAGACTCAGTTTTGGCCACAATGAGATGTTTAATAACAACCGACTAAGAAACTATAAAATACAAAGTGAACATTAAACCCCTCAGCCACCATAAGGGTTGGTCAGGGAGGGAAAAAAAATAAAATGATACATCTAGAGTGAAGACACTAGAATATAAACAACAATGAATCGGTAATGATTCAGGAATACCAAAGGGATGTCTAGAATCCTACAATTATATTATTTGTGTCATCATGCAAAAATTAGAGTTTCAATCTTGAATTAAGAAACTTCCTTTGTGCTGTCTTGGAAGGAGCATTCACAATTAACCGCTAATGGAGCAGAATATGAGATTTAGATACCTGACAGCAAACTGAAGTGATTGATGTGTGTTCTCCCTGTCATTGCTTAAAGACTCACATATAACTGATCAATTAAAGGGTTGATTAACCGATCTTGATCAACAGATAACAGTGGTTATTGAGATAGAAGTGAGTTAATTAAGTAGCTAATAAATAAGTGATGATATGATTGACTAGCTGTTTCCCCTACTGACAGCTTTTATCAATCATCATTTCAATTTTTGACAGACAGTGAAATATTAATAGTTTTTATTTTAAACCTACAGCGAAGCGAGAAAGTCACACAGTCGTCACCTGTCTTTATTGTAACACTGTCAAAAGATTTCTTTCAAGAAAAGACTATGTTTTATGGAAAGGGAAAAAYGATGCACAGWCCACTTTACAACCAGTGGGAAACTCCAAAAGTAAACAAAAASAAAAGGCTAAATCACAAACAAATATGGCTGTAAAGCTAGATGGAAAAACATAAAAAAGAACAATCATAATTTATATTTATACAAGTTACTGTAAGTAGTTTTCAGGTGAAATCTCAGCTGCCATGTTGGTTCATAAATTCTCAAAAGATTATTCATTTGACATGACTCAATATAAATATTGCTCATAACGTACACCAATATCTTACCCACCCACCCTCAGGGAATTTTCTAACAATAATTATTTTAGAAGCTGTGTATAATCCCAGTACATCAAATCCCAGTAAGTTAATGCATTTTGTGGGAAAAAACCCTTTGCRTAATGAGTGGCTGTCCTGTTAGCAGAATGTTCTTTTWACTCCATGTARCCTCCTCTACACCAGCCAACTCTTTTTAATCTATTGACCATATGAAAAAGGAGGAGAAGACTGGGMATGAGCACCTTAAAYGGTCCATGTTTTAAAAACTCTCTTTTCACGATAAGAAAGAGTACATTTAAACTAGTGRATTGGCATATTTTAGTTTCAAATGGTAAAATGTCAGCAGAGCWACGAGRACGTAAAAYGTACCAAAAACATGAAAACGAGGCTGGTAAGGCCTCAATACTCGTTTTCACTCAAACMCTTGCAATTTCAAACAACCGTAATTTGTAGTCCTTAAATGTTAGTTAGAGCATTGAAACTGTCAGATCTCACTCATCATAATATGTTCTTTCAACGGGTAGTAATGATATATTATACARCTTATAAACTAAGGCGTTACGATAGCCACGCCCTTTTTCATATTATGGTCTATTATTGGGCTTCCTTTGGTGTTCTGAGTTATAATTCATTACCTCCAATCTCGCTCTTCCTTCATCACCAGTCCCCCTCTTCACCTTTTCTTCCAAAGGAACCACTGTTAATATTTAGAAGAACCACAAAGAGACTTTTATAACTAAAGATAATCTTCAGAATTAATGTTTTACGTCTATTTTTATCAGCACCAAGGAAATTATTTTCCTCTCTTCTCAATGTTGATTTTTTTTTGTCAATTTGGTTAATGCAGGATCCCTCCCAGCCAGAGACAAAATTAATCCTGATTTTTTCACTGACTTTAACCCTAATTTGGTTTTTTGCCAACTCTGTGATTCTTAAGTCATTATCAGCTGAGCTATCAGAGGTTTAAAGGTTAAAAGCTTGTGGGAGGATAATGATGGCAATTTCTGTTTTGAAAGACAGCTTCTCTACTAAAAGTTATCACAACCAATTTCAATTAAGATAATTACTATCAGATGATACTTTGAAGAGG